ACTACACTACACTACACTACACTACACTACACTACACTACACTACACTACACTACACTACACTACACTACACTACACTACACTACACTACACTACAAATGCAGATGAAGATGCAGATGTAAATGCAAATGCAAATGCAAATGCAAATGCAACGCAACGCAATGCAATGCAATGAAAAATGCAATGAAAAATGCAATGCAATGCAATGCAAATGCGATGCGATGCAATGCGATGCAATGCGATGCAATGCGATGCAATACGATGCAATGCGATGCGATGCAATGCGATGCAATGCGATGCACGACAGTGTAGTTCATTACAGTACAATGCAATAGTAATGTAAGTAACAGATGGCTGGGACACCACAACAGATAAAACCAATTATACTGTGCGCCCTTATAAAACATAATAACTGGAAACAACAATTCAGTATAAACACTTTTTAAACTACGATTAGAGTTACAGTTTAAACACACAGATTTCCAAGTTTTTGGATTCTAACAATTGTGTAGGGCTTTCAAATAATGTTCTGTTGTTGGAAGACAGTTCTAAACATTTGTGGCTCGGTTGAAATAAGATTTTTGGAAGGTGGTAGTCCTTAATTTTTGTGGACGAAACAACAACTCGATGGTATTATAGATGTTCGGGTTACTCTGGTGGGAATAATAGGTTGAGGGAGAAGATATTTAGATACGTTGGGCTGACCATTTACAGCTTCAAAGAAGAACACAAGTGCCAGAATGATAGTGGTATGAGTTTCAAACTAGTGCCAGTATGATAGTGTTATCAGTTTCAAACTTATCAGCCTGTTGCGGTATGACTCGTTGCACAAGTAGGAAGGTTCAGGATGAATTTTGACGCACTTCTCTGTACACATTCTGTTCGTCTAATCAGGCCTATAGTCTGGGCAGACCATACTTGACTTGCGTAGCCAAAAACCGGAAGAACAACTGAGAATTGGTTATTTCCCCCTGGTTCTCCTCACAAAACTAAGCAGTTTTCAAAATATACAGTAATTCACATAATATGTAAACGTTTTATGGAATTAGAAGCATTGTCGAGCAAGATGTTGAATAGTTCAGGTGCCCATACACTTGATTTTAACTGCTATTTAGATAGATTACCATTGTTTTCAAATTGTGTTGGTCCTAAAGCCCGCGATTTATTTCAAAATATAGCTTATACAGTCAGAATCCTACTGCAGGAACAGCACTCTGAAATGTGGGAACGAAAACGAACGACATGTTTTCGACAAAAAAGTTTAAAAATTAGCGTTAATTCCATCATATAGTAATGGAAAGTGGCATTCAGCAGTGAAAGTTTAGAAATTAAATTTTACAAGAAAAAAGTAATGTATTCGGTACTGTAATCACAATTTTGTCTCGGAAAAGATACAGGATTTTTTTGCAACTGCTTTTTGCAATTAGGTTTAGAATTGTATAAAAAAATTATGTACCAAAATTTCATCTACAAAACACATCGGCTTCGCTTTGGCAGATTCGTATTCGAAGTAATTATTAATTATTTGTCTTGGCCTTAGGGTAACAAGATCCTAGATTATTCACTAAATCAAAATGCTGTGTCTATTGGTTCAAGCAATTTATATCAATCTTACTATGCATGCCTAACTGATGCACCAGAAAGTACAGTTATCGAGTATGGTAAGACGCAAGCAAATACTAACTATGGTGATAATTATCTAACAATAATCGATCGTACAAATCCGATCCATGCTCGATTTTATACGTTTGGAAATGGGGAACATGATGCTGCAATCATGGATATACAAGTTATGCCACGTTCTGGTTTGATACAAGAATGTAAAGGAGGTACCGTGCTAGATGCAGCTGGACATTTTTGTGTAAGAAAACCATGCCATCAAGCTTGTGATGAAAGAGGAGGTAATCTTTATATATGTTTCTTCTTATTAATACAAATTTTAAAATATTAAAAATACAGGAATAAAAGGAGATTGAAGGCATAGACAGCGGATCAAATACGTATGTTAGATCTATACACTAGAACAACGTTATTGGTAATACAATATAATTATGTGGGTCATTCGTCCAACAAGCTATTTCCGATTCGAATGCCCATGCACAGACAACTGCATGAAAATGAGGCTTCACGCAAAAATGTTATTTTCTGTAGCATATTAGCATCAAGCCTTGATCTGGCGTTATGGTTCTTGACAAGCAAATCGTAATTCTAAAGTGGTCTATAAAGTTGCAGTATTTAACAATTATAGCATGAGCTAGAGCCATCAGTCATGGCTCTCAGCCATTATTTCTACAAACTAGAAAATACATGCATGCACAAACCCCTCGCCTTGCTGACAAAACCATTGTATATACGAACATGAAGATTTATAAAAGTAATCGTCATGGTAACACGATAATTTTGTTAAGAATATTTCTACAAATGACACAAATAAAAATCCCCTAAAAATGTCACTTTTATTACAAAATTATCAATTCCCCAAACATTACGTTTTCGTACAGTGGGACAGATGCTGTGTGATTCGATGAAAGCTGCGAAATTCGTTTCTTTATGGACTGTGGTATCTGTCTAATGATTGATGGAGGGTGCATCGTTGGAAAAGAGTGTAAATTACTATTTCTTAGATCCTGTTTCTTTTTAGGTTGTCGTGCACCAGCAGGAAATACACCGCTACCATCTGAATGTTATTCGTGCAAGTATGCAAAAAATGGTCAAGACTGCGTATTGGAATGTCCGTCTGGTATGCTACCAAATAAAAACAAAAAATGCCGTCGTAAGTGTTTAAACTTCTATGAAACTATTTTTTGAAATATTCTTGTATTGTATGTTGTCAACAATTAGAAATGGAACTATGTTAACATTTAGAAATCGAACTAATTAATATATTTTGTTTTTTGCACTGATTGGGATTTAAATCGGCAGTGACGTAGCACAGCTTTTTTCAACCCATCCTACAGTATTATAATTAATTTAAAAAAATTTTCTATGTAGGTAATTTTGACTTGACGTTTAAAGGAAGCATTGGTCTTAAATCTTCGTTCGCAACTATCCCGTCCACACTTCCTGCTTCCACAATCTGTCTATGGATAAAATTACCAACTTACACTCAGAATTATTTGGGAAAGGAATATACAGTTCTTGGTTACACACCTACGGGAGTGTTATCGTCAATTTTCATTCCCCATTTTCGTCTTTCCGTAAGATATGAGAAAAAAGGAGAAACTTCGTTGCTGTTAAAGTACTATTATCGGTAATTCAAAATTTTCTGTATACAGTAGATTATATAGATTATATATATATATATATATATATATAT